ACAGGACATACAATTTCCCAAAAAGGCAACTTCATCGTAATTTTTCAAAGCTTCGATGTTACTAACACTAATATTACATCTAATATTCTTAGCGGAGTTAGGTACAATAACATTAAGAAACAACGGTTAGATCGTTTCGTCACATAGAAAAAGCTAGTGCACAAGTATTGTTCCAAATGGTTCTTCTGCCCGTCAAGATCCACGTAATGACGATGTAAGCGCAGTTTAAAACTACTCTCGTTGTAAAGTGCAGCCATACTTTGCAATCTGTCGTCGTCTTTCTATCTCGCACAAAGGAGCAACAAGAACGCACAAATTGTTGCGCAATGGATCCAAATGGATTCTTTTACCTTGACTTTGAATTTCCTAGACCGTTCCCTACACTCAAATAGTTCAAGTTCACGTTTCAGTTCATTTTATCTTTAAGTTCTAGCTGTTCTTGGCTTGCTCTGCAATGATGTCTTACCGCGGTATTATGTGCTTAGATTTAATGGACAATGCGCATTTATTCTTTTAATCGTCTTTGTTCTGTCTGATGCACGTGTACCAACTAGAAGGGTTTCACAAGATTTCTTTTTGTCGCTGTCTCCGCAGTCCTCCAGTTTGGAAAGACCGTTTTTCAAGGAAGTCATACCAAAATTGATTTCATGAAGGAGATCAAGACCCAAAGTAATGAGCACGTGACGAAAAGAGGAGGAGAAGGGGGAAGACATTGGGCCAGTTGCATTGCAAAATCGATTGATCAAATCAATTGCTTTTTTCGTGTGAATGTTTAATACTGAAGGACTACCATAAAATAATATTGATAGATAAAATAATAATATACCTATTATTTTTCTTGGGCTTCAATAAATTGTACAAAACATATAAAGTATGTTCTGTGGTGATAACTATGATAATTATGATGATGTAGCTTTCATACTCATTTGTTTTCGAGCCATCAATAAGACTATCCGTTGTCCCTATAAATTTCAATCACTATAAATCATCAGGACACAGATCTGGTGATCCCGTTGAGAGTGTCAAAGACAATCGTAAAGCGGTTACAACGACATCATTATGGCGACCCGCTTCTACACCGGTTCCCAGTACATAGAGAGCATGTGAACTGACTGACACGAATGCAGCTTTCTTGTGATTGATGTGATGCTATGAGCTACGTAGTGCATCTCTCAATTCTATATTGACAATTCACTTAATAATAATCTATTAATCTAGTAAAACACATTTATCTGTCATTCCTCTTCCCACGGTCACGTAGCCCTGCTAAATGATGTCATTATGTAAGTTAAACAAAGTTAAACAAATGATGCCATTTAGCAGGAGCTGAGCAGCAATGTTCTCTGATAAACCTGATTCTCTGATTAAGAGTGGAAGGGCCATGCTCCGGCACGAATGGGCCAACTCGACCAGAGTGTTATCACAGCCTCACATAAAACCGACGTGAAATAACACTTGAGTTGTGTTTCGTTCGGTGAGTGAGGTTTTCGGAGGTCCAATTACCCCCCTCCCTAATCTGATCATTCCCCGAATCGGCAACAATCCTCAAATTCCTAATACGCAAAAGGTCGGTAACGCACTTGTAAAACCTCTGGTCTTTCGGGTATCCATTGCTTACTTACCATCAGATGATTCGTCTGCTCGTTTACCGGCTTATAAAAAAACCTTGTTATTTTAAATTGGCAAATAAATTTTTAATATGGCAAACCTCTCTTAAGTAAAAAAGGCTTTTAGTCCATCAGTGAACTGTGACAAGCTGTAGATGATGATGTTGTTGATGAGCATAGTTTCTTCGCTGGTTGAGTGAGGAACCCTTGATGAGACTGCTACTATGTACTACCACCACTTCGTAGGTAAACGCTTTTCAGAATTCATTGTGTAAATCAATACATAATTTACCACATCGCGTGACCAGCACTGTCTTTCTGTCGCAACTTCGATACTTCATAATTTTATAAAACCCAAATTTTTATTCCGGATGTGAGAATGACTTTAATACCAATTTATTTTTTTACATTTTTTAAATTTTTTTATTTATTAAAAATTTCTGTAAATAAATTAAACTGCATCGACAGCTAAACAAAATTAAGGGATAACAATAATAATCTTTAAAAGATACTATTTAAAAAAATAAAATAAAAAAATATATATATTTATATTTTTCGCCCTAAATAATCACAAAACACTATTAAAACCATAAACACATATTTAAAAATAAAAATATCACTAGTTCTTCCCATTTATTAATTTTATTGCAAAGGCTCTTTCATGGATAGGTTCGATCCCCAACTGGTCTATCTCCGTCGGGGATGGAACCTATACTGAAGCAAGAAACATTTTCAGACTACCTCTACGGACCTAATTGCCATGCGTAAAACCACAACCAATCAGAGGACGAGGAAATCCATGTGCGAGCTTTCGTCTACGATTCAATCACATGTCTTATTACTATTTAGACATCTTTTTACACCAAAACATGTACAACGAATCGTATTTTAATATAAAAGATTTATTAAGTTAAGAATTTTACGTCTAGATTAATCTATCGTTTAAGGAAAGGTCATTTGATATGAAAGAAGTTGGTTGCAGTACGAGCATTTCGAGCATGCGCGGTAGGTATGGGGTATGCACTTTTGACAATGTCATTCCGACGCCATATTTTCAGAATGGGTACAGATAATTTATTGCATTGCGTTTTGTTTATGCTCTTATTAAATGCGAATCGAAAATAGTTTTTGAATTAAGAATCGCTATTTTGTTTATATATCTATGATGTAGTTATTAATTGTTTGGTTTTAATTGTTTTAAAAGAAAATCTAATAGTATTATATAATTATTTTCTCGTTGCGATGTTAGATCACGTCAAAGGGTGAATGACCCCGATCAATCCAAGAATGAACTGAGTATCTGGGTACAGTGATACTTAATAAATATACGTATGTTAGAGACAGAGTTATTTTACGAGAATTCGAGGTTATGCGTATGCTACTACATACGTAGTTTTTTATCTAAATATGTTATATCCTAAAGAGTGACATGGTGACAGCTTTATAACTAAATTTTTAGTTTGTTTGAGTGTAATTGCATTTTTCTTAACGGGTTGTTGTTATTATTGTCTGGTAAAATCTGGAAAATTATGATACTGTTTTAAACTTTGAAACGACTGTTTATGAAATATAGTTGATATTTCCACAAGATAGACATCATGTCGTAAAGGTACTAAAGGTACTAAAGTAATAAATTCGTTTGAAAAATAAGTTACTATATGCATAGGTATTGCGTGAAGGAACAGGTTCGCAGTAATTCCAAATACAACTGTGGAAAGGTATGAGCACACGTACTAGAGAAAAATGTAATAATTACAGATTTGTCTGTTTATCGACGAAGAAAACGTTTTATTACGTTCTTTGTTGTATTTCGGATCATCATAAATTTTCTAGGCCAATGTCCGAACATAAAACAAGCAAATGAGAAAAAGTCAATAATGGGTGACTCACATACGAAGAGTGATGGTATCAACTGCAAAAAATATTCATAGCATTATGATCTCAACATTCATATAAACTACAATTCTCAGATCATAAAAGACTTACCATGACCGACTTTAAAACAAAATGAACTATGATTTTTGTAAACATTCGACTGCATCTTATTTATACACTGAAAAATAAGGGCAGTGGCGCAAGCCTATGAAGTACGAACCATTTAAAAACAACGTTTGTTTTGGATTTTGTAATGTTTAAATAAAATACGTTTAGTTAGTACAGAGTGAGATTTGAGGCTTACGATAGTGTAATTGTGAGCGAAGACGTATTTATTTATGTACTATAAACGTGTTGGTAATCACAATACTAACGATTGGTCTTATTCTCTCTAACTATCCATGAGTTACTACAAGTATAGTATACCAAAAATTAAATCTAAACTATTTTTTGTTATCGTTTAGTTTTAATTTTGGTTATATTTAGTAACTAAAACAAAACACTTCGGACACTAATAAGAAACTTACTCAATTAAGTTCTTAAAATGCATGTACATTTCATTGTTGTTTTTCTCATCATCAATTTTCATTTAAAAAGTTTTTCCTATCGAGCACATTTTGTTCAAAGAAACAAAGAGCATACTCAATCGCATTTTAATGGAATGGTTGAAAAAATTCTCAACTTGAACGGGTAGAAAGAAAACTGCAGTTACATTAGCACATACATAAGTACCTATCACTTTATTTCACAGGCGTATTCGACCCAGTTTCCACTCTATAAGTGTTTTAAAAAGTAAACTATAAACTGTATATCTATTGAATGAAGACTATAAAGTTTTTGTAGAATGAATCATAAAGATTGTTATGAATAAGTGTTGTATTCTTAGGCCTATTCTATTTTCTAGATCGTATTACCATGATCTTATTGATACATTGACTCATTTTCTCAGATATCAATGCAATGCTTTGAAAATAATGTAAAAGCCTGAGCTATTTTTATCTCCTTATAATATTACAAAGTTCATATATTATATTTAGGTTATATGACATCAAAGCAGCGCAGGGACGCTTCACGGATGATGTGCTCAAAAACAAATAAAAAAGCCACTTACCTCTTTAATTTGCTCTCCTTCTCATTCACCTAGTTTCCGATAACTCAGGCTGATGGAAAATTCTATGTTAGCTTTAGTGATTGGCTTTAAAAACCATTAACGCTCGACATCCGATCGGGATTTGTATTGCAGTTTGTTGTGCTTTGCGATAGCATAATTGTTTGTTAAAACAAATAGAGTACATAGGTATTCGGTTATTTTGATTGGCAATTTGTTATTTTATAGATAGAAAACGTTGCGCTGTTTGTTTCTTTTGACTTTGTTCGCTTAAATTTCTATCGAATATCTTTGGCAATATCAGCCTAAAATATCAGTATCAGTCTCTTGTTGACATACGCAGTGTACCTAATGTACTTATGAAGAAATAAAGTGTAATTTATAGGCTTATTTGTAACGCGATTACTTACCGATGGTACCAGGGAACCAGGCGCATAGAGGGTTGCGCTGCAAGTCTGTGCTGCTGTTACCCACTCTGATCTCCAGATCTTGAAGCGGCTGATGACCTGGTCAACATAGAATAGTTGCATGAATAATACTTTTGAGAATGCAAATTTTTTTAAGACAAATATTATTTTAAACATTTATCATTCGCTAAACAACATGCAAGACAGGTCTAAACAATACTTATAAAAAGCATGAACAATCAACATAATGCCGAAAACATGTATATTTAACGTCGATTTCCTCGGTATTATTGTGTGTCATAACGGCAACTTTCACGCAAATCATCTATTAATTACAAATAACTGCATAGTTGAGTAAGTTTTACAAAGCGTTTGGCTCCGTTACCTATGCCCGATGGGTAGACGGGGCGATGACCGCTCACAATTATTTATTAATCTTAAATGTTATTACTTCTGTAATCCCCTGTGGCAATTGTGTGTACGGTCTGATTGTTTTAGTTCAGGTGATGTTGATTGAAAGGAAACCGTTCAGCCAGTATTTTCTCAAGCAACTCTATTTGAAATTGAATGAAATTCTCAATATTCATTTTATAATATGTACCTACACATAATTTCTTCCATCTAACATTACCTCTTTAAGACATTCTAATAACAAAATGGTATCTCTTAGAAGATTATGAAAACCACTTTATCCAAGCAAAAGGATGTGTGCATTGTGCACGACCTAACCTAATTCTATTTTGTTGTCACATAGTTCGTCCTATTTCCCGGTTATTTTGCTTCGGTAGACTCAACGACATTACTGAGATGAGATTTAGGTTCGACTTTTCAAGCTTGCTCTCTCAGCGTAGTGCTTCCTGACAGCTTGCTGAAGGCGTAATGCTTCTTTTTCGTAAATGAAGTGAAAATTGTGCACTCAATTTTGTTTGCGTTTCGTACTGAAAATAGGACAGAGACTAGTGATTTGGAATGCCACCAATTAATATATTTTGATATTCACGCAGGTTTTACAAATATGTAGGAATGTCGGTAATAATGATAAATTAATTTCAATGCAATGATTGCAGTATTCCCAAACTCATAAACGTGCTTTTTGTTCTATTGTTTCAGTATTCATATTTGTACGTGTAGTCTGGACTTTAGCCATAGTATTACTAAATGCTATAAGGGTCATTTTTGTAAAGCGGTTTCTAAACGGAGGTAAGTAGGAATGCAATATAAATATTGAGGTGTTGGCGATTTACACTTATTGGTACCGTGTGGAGGGACACGATCAATATATTTGTACAGAATAGTTCTAGCTGATAGTTTGCTGACTGTTGCATTATTAATAGGTAAGTAGGTTAGGAGATCAGTGCTATATTAAGGTAGAAGTCGTTCGCCGAGTTTATATAGGTATGAGTATTTGTTTAAGACATTTCGAAATGACTCAGTACCTATTAAGGAGGCGTTAATCCGTCCTTAACAGCTTAAAATTAACTTGATGACAAGATGGAATATGTTCTTTTGGGATCATTTCACCATGCCTTCTTAAAGAAGATTATAATATTCTTATAGAATGCGGTGATGTACCGCTTTATTATGTGTCTCAGGTCAAGTTTTATTTCAATAAGTTCTATATATTTGAATGGTTGTAAGGCCAATATGCGTCTTCACTTACCACAACATCCTCTAGTGGTGACTCTGACTACTTTGACGGCGTAATGTCTAAGTAGGTCCACCTGCCACCAGGGCGAGGCTTCCCTCTGTGTCTCCGTGCACCGCTTGCCATCATGTTCCGTGGTCTTCTCACCGTCATTACCGTTGGCTGCAGCACCTCCCCGAACTGTGGTGGACTGGTTTGCAGGTTTCCTGAACGCGACGTTTGTACCTAGAATGAAAGGTACCTAATTTTAATCTTCTGCTATTTGAGATGTGGTCGGATTTTAAATACAAGACAATACAAGTGTTGAAATTGTATAGTTTTGTTATCCTTTTTTTAGATACACTACCTATATATTTTGCAGTTATAAGGATACTAGTTTTAAGTCGTTATCTAAATTTAGTAGTCTCTATACAGCTTTATAAGAAACTCGATTATTTTCCGAGATAAGCAGGCGATACTTTGCAACCTCGAAACAATAGAGTCATTAACTCAAAGACATATTAAACACGATATCTAATTAGTTTTAAAATGCTGATGACGAGCTGTTGTAGAGATCACGAAGATTCGAGAAATTTTTCGTGCTCACTAGTTTTAATCAGAAACAAAAAAATAATAATACATCATGCAAAACGTACTTTGATCTACTTCCATCATCTTACAACAAGAAACTCAAAATAAAACAAACTGTTTTAGTACTAATGAAAACGGTTTCTTACCGCAGAAGGGTGCTTCAGCGGTCCAGTCGCCCCTGAGCGTGCATTCTCTCTGATGGGCTCCGAACAGTTCGTAACCCTCATCACACTCATAGGTCGCGATGGTACCAGGTACTATGTCTCCTGAAGGGATGAATACTCTAGCGTTTGGGGGTACAGCTGGATGTCCGCATCGGCGATCACCTGGAAAGAAGAAATAGTTTAGTATGTCATGAAGGCTCATAGGTTAGGTAAACAATATGCAGTCTCTCTTTTTTATCTGAAGGTAGTGATTATTTTCTGCGTCCTGGCTGTGTTTTCAAAAATAAATTGTGACCATAGAAAAACTCAGAAAGACAATTCATGGTAGACAAAATTAGGGGCTTGCGTTCTTGTTTATAATGCCCGCGACAATATTGGAGTCGGTGTTCTAGTCACAACACTGTGTGTGCAGTGAGTATACATTTTAAAATATGTTTCTGGTTTGTGCATTCAAACCAAAAATATTTATTAAAATACACTTCATTATTTCACCATGAAACACTCCTTTCCTTAAATTAAAGACGGCTTTAATTAAATTTGTTTCTCTATAGGAAACCATTTATTTTACACTGAATGAATAGAAAATTAAAATACAGCTGAAATTTTTTTCGAAATGCGGCGCTGGCCATGGCTTCATGAATACCTATGAAATAGCATTATAAAGGACACCGCATTCATTTTTCCTTGAAAAGTAGATTTATTTGAGTAAAAGGGGAGTAAGTACTCCTTTAATTTTGAAGTTGGTACCAGTAATTAAAATTAAAATACTTCGTATTTCACTAAATAATATTTAAGATGCGAACATTTGAATGGATGTTTGTTATTTAATCATATCAAAATAGGTGCACGTTAGAAGATAAATGGGCATTAAGAAAGATTATAGCCTGGAAGTTATTATCATTAGTATTATCAGATTTTTGTGCAAAATAAAGAGTGCCATATTTTGTTTATTGGTTCACCGACAATTGTACACACTAGATCAAATTTTAGGTTACATGCAATAGATACATACTTTTGCGTTATAATCACATAGAGGTAAACACCTCATGCATAAAAAGGTTGTACAAGAAAGAAAGTTCTTGTGTAAAATAAAGAGTGCCGTATAAAACAGATGTAGGTACTATTTTATCTCTGTCGCAGAAGTGAAATTTGTAAGTCTGTCTGCGAAAGAAATATTTGTTCGTGTAGTATGCTAGATAATTGATAAAACGGTGTGACTTCTAATTACTTGAACTAGTTTCCACAACTCAACACGTAATCGATCAAAACGCATAGAAAACAACGTCATAACATTAACTTTCCGTGTCTATAGTATCTTAACACATAGTTAATTACTTCACAGTACGAAACAAAAAGACTAATTTATCAAGTTGAGACTTCTTTAAGGTTACTTACCATTCAAGGGTCATGTAACGACCTATCGGAAGGCCTCACTACCACAGTTCCGTTACTAACACGAGGCCAGACCAACGTAACAAGCATTAAATTTCATATAAATTTTATACAACAATACATTTTAAATTCTATTCCGCAAACCTAAAGTCTAGATTGAAATACACAACTGACGGAACTAGAGAATATCTTACAAAATACTCTAATGCCATGCAAAAAGAAACGCGGAAGCTACAATCACGTACTCCATACATCCTACATTTTTACAATTTAGACTAGTTGTATTGTATCGCAACACGCGTGGTGCATCGGCAGGTAATGTTCCAGGTAATTGGAACAGATGACCTGTTAGAGCGGCAATGTAACGCGATGCTACCGTAACGGCGTCACGGATGCGAATCTTAGGTAATAGGCACGGACTGAATGCAATATTGATACATACTGGAGAAAAACTGATAGCAATGTAATCAGTTGATCCTGATAAGGAAGTTGAAAGAACTAATTGACAGAGGGAGTGATGTTATATACGGTCGGTAGGTACTAGGTACTTATTGCAGTTTCTTATACTTATAGTTACGTAGAAGTGTTAACGCGAAGCGTATCTATGATAATACTATAGGTATAACTGTTATAAATACGAAAGTATTTGTAAATCTTTGAGGAATTGTCGAAAGTTTTTGGTTTATTACCTAATGTGGAATTTAAATATTCGGACAAAACTGTACTGTCCACGGCGCCGATGTATCTTTTGACGAATGCGTGCATCCTACAAACGACATGAGGCAGACAACTAAAAACAAATGCTTGCATGTTAGAAACCACAGAAAAGTCTCCACGAAGGGGTAGCGACAATTGCACCTCATTTGACAGAATTATCGCATTCGTCAAATGACGCGTCGATGAGACTATTCACAACTCTTTTTATTAGATATAAGAGGAAAACGGGCAGTTTTCGTATCAGCATCACCTTATTATAGGCGCCGCCCATGGACACCGCAACACCAAGTTGAAAGTACAAAACATACATAAATACATAGGGAAAGTGCTACACTGATTTGTGGACAAAAACTACGTTTAAAACCATTTTGTTTATTACGATTGATGCTATAATGTTGTCAATGCAGTTCGTGTCTAATAAATTTATTATTTGTTAATATTACATCAGAACGAAGATTTCTCAATGGACTAAACCGAATCAATCAATGCGATCATTACCTACTTCAGGCTTTTTTAAACTTTGTTAGCATAAACTTAGTAAAATTTTATTTTGTTTTTTAACCCGATCGATGAAAACTTATTCGTAATCAATAAACTATTGAAATTGAATAACATACAAATCTTATTTACAAGTCTGATATCTGAAAAATATACATATTTAGTCCGTCAGTTAGGTAATGAAAAATATTATACACGAATTTTTTATTTCATCGTATAAGAAAACAATACTTAGATAAAACGAATTAAAGCTTAGGAGTTGGAGGTAGCTACGTCATTTAAAAGTATCCCGGTATAAAACACATTATACCGGCAACTTTCAACAGACAAAATGTTTCTAAATATATCTAATCAACCAGACGGACATTAAAATAAAAATTAGTCATCTATTCTATTGCAGATACTGAGAGATAGTTTCCAAGTTAAACAATAAACATCCGATAATAGCAAAAAACACAGATATCCGTAAAAAGGCCTACTCTATTTCGGTTAAATTTTTTATGACTCATAATAAAGTTCCATTTTATATTATGACGTATGTACTAACTTCTTCATTGAAAATTATATTATATTTTCTAAAACTGGTCTTTAAAGGACTTCACTGAAACTGCTCCAACGTTAATTACATTCCTTTTACATTCATTTGTATAAATAAATGTAAATACTAAATTAATAACCTGATGAAATTTAAATGTAATTACTTTGTTTACGATACAACTTTTCAGTTAGGTACACTATCTTACTGAAGATTTATTAGCCACTAGACACATCATAGTCTGAACTCATTCCTACAAAAAACAACTACTCTATGAGCAAAACACTAAACATGACCCGGGCATCGCATTGAGAAATCCTACTTGTGACCACTACGGCAACGTGTACTCCACAAAGCACGATCTATCTATCTTCATCTTGAATCTCACGCTTCACTACTCTTCACAGCCGAGGTCATTCAACAAATAAAAGAAACATGTACACGTACACCATGTAGGTACTTACCAAACACACAATTCAGACAAAGTATCTATTACTAAATACCATTCGCTAAAAACATCCTCAATTTCAATGCAAATATTTTGACTGAGAAATCTGAGAATCAATTAAATGCACGTTAGACAAGACGTTTATAAGTCCAATCGGCACGTGTTTCGAAACCTTTGCATAATCTGGACTTCAATTTTCCAAATGTCAATCCTATATACCAACAAAAAAGGATCCAATTATGGATCTAGACAGTTCTGGAATGGAGAGGTGATTGGATGTAGCCCTAATGAAGTCTGCCAAGTGCTGTATGGATTTGACTTATAAGAGCTTTCCCAGTGCAACGTTTCCTTTTTGACTTGGACAAATAGATTACACTGTACTGCCAGCAGGTCAACTTCCCCCAATTAGTGTTTCTTTATAAGAAATACAACTGTATTGTAACACAGTAGAGTCGAAAATGTCATTAAGCAGTTTGACAGGTTGGTACAACTTGATCCGCTTCCGTATAATTGTGTGAACGCGTTTGAGCGGCACCGCTGAGGTTTAATAAAAGAACCGCTTGATTGGTGCCGCACATCGTAACCTGATTTCTGTTCCACACTTCATTTGGGATTATCTTCACTTTGAATTAAGTGCAACTATTATTTTTCTCCTTTTTTAATATCTTCTGATTTATTTCGTTGCGGGATCCTAGACAGTTTGTCATGTCTTTTTTTTTAATAAAAACGTTGCCCCACTTTAGGATTTTCTCCTGTGTCGTGGGTGCGTTTACAAACATACAAGTTCACATACACAATGACACCCAGACCCGAAACAACAATTTGTGGATCACACAAAGTGTTGTTCCGTGCGGGAATCGAACCCGCGTCACGTTGCACGGCAGCCGGTTGCCCAGCCACCGCACCAACCGTGCAGTCAATGTCTGTGGAACTTGTTCCGGTGTTGACAGTGTTTCGGTATTTTCATGGTTGTATCTACTGTACATGCTGACTTACGGGTGTTGCAGCGGTTTTGGGAGGCTGTGACGGGCTTGTCCTAATAAGTTTTCAATAAGACATTGATAGAATCGTTAAACAGAATTTCTAGAAACTAATTATCAGAAAAATTTAATACAAATATGTACGTTTCTCTTGCTTATGTCACTATAAAATCATATCAAATGTAATTGATGATAATAAATATAACGTACCAACAGGACTACGTTTTCAATTCGCAAATACAAATATATGGTTCATCAGAACATGTGGAGATGTGGACAGATAGGACATTCAATATTCTAATATATTCAACTGCTGCACGTCGCTCTGTGTACTTACATAGCAATCAAATATTTGTGCCTCGATGCCAGCGCCTGACGTTCTATTAAATCTCTAGTATCTTGTTCAATATATTATAATTGTATGTTAGTTTAAAACTAATCAAGAACTAGTTGTAGAAGAAGAACGTATAAGGGGTAACAACAATGCTATATGGAGTACCAGTCTTACACATAACACAACGCCCCGAAGGGTAGGCAGAGGTGCACATTACGGCACTTAATGCCACTGTACCATGTAACACCCACTTTTCAC